ATTCTGAAGCTAATGCATTTCCTCTGGATCCTCTGTAAGTTCCTCTTGTTGGGTCTTCCTAAAGATTATTACACATCACAATTATAACCGGACGAAAATAAAAGGAGAATCTTGTAAACGCTCCAAATTTGACGATGCAGTCCTTTAATATGGACCGCGCACGAAATGGATTCGAGGAATACTTTTTCTAAACATCTCAGTCTTATTGATGTCTCTTCAATTCCAAGCGAAAAAACTACCTCAAAATAAAACACTTTAAAAATTATTATCAGACGTATGGAAAGTAATTCAACGATCTTTCCTGGCTTACTCAATACATATTAATGTCCTGAAGCAGTTCCCAAAAACCGTTGACGAATGCATTTCAGGTCATACGAAAGAAAAGAGCGAATATTTCCCTCTGGTATCTTTCACGCTTGAAATCTGACCGAACACATTGTTTTTTTTAATAACTTCTTGCTAAGGTTTTGAGAACTAGCAACAGCCCTTACTGGTTGTATAAATTTAATTCGCCAGTAAGTTTCTCTTGACACGCACACTTACACAACAAGTAAGATGTTGAAGTTGTTTTGATGCAGGGACAATAACAAACAGAGGAACTCAAAGAGGCAAAAGCACTAATCGTATTGTTTGCATTGGTCGCTACACGTTGTAGAAGATTTGAGAACTCTGGTCAGAAGGGCTGGATGACACGAAACCACCGCTCATTGAATGACATGGCATGGCATAGCCTGGCATGGCATAGCCTGGCATAGCATGGCCTGGCATAGCATAGCATAGCATAGCATAGCATGGCATGGCATAGCATGGCATAGCATAGCATGGCATAGCATAGCATAGCATAGCATGAAAGTTCGAAAGGCGGCGTTCTACATTTCTCGCATCTGATTGGTGGCTACACATTCGACCAGTTAAAATAAAATTAACGTGTTCACGGTTTTATGACTTCAGACTAAAAAATTGGCCCATTTTTAAGTAAAAGAACGTAGTTTATTTGTCGTAATCGACATTTTACTCGCGTGGCCTGATATACATTAATCAGGGTTTTTTGAGGCGGCTCCAGAACATTATTAACGATCACATCACATAACAATGTTCTTGTTCTCATCTATGTCGCCGTCTGCAATAGATGCAAAAGTGTCTAGCCAATAACAGAGTATATCACCCAATGTTTCATATACCTCAAACGCAGCTCTGTCTCTGGCAACAAGTGCGTCAGCAGCTACAGAATTGACCAGTTAGGGTGATTTCGTCTCGTTCAGCTACTCGACGTACTTGAGTCAGGACGCTTCCTCGTCAGTGAGATAGTCGTTAACTCCCTTCCTTTCCGGCCTTCACTCCTCACTTTATAAAAATTGCTTTAGAACATTACTACTCATCACACTTAGTGTTAAATTGCATTCGCTGTTCTTTTTAGCTTCTTCCAGTGTGAGTGATGCCACCCCTATGTGTATTTGTCCTTGTGGTTCTACTTCAACGAGATCAAAAAGTACTTCGTCGTTATATCATTCAACGAGTAGTGTAATCAGTACATCCAGCACGTCTGACCAGAGTTCTCCATTCTCCGACAGCTTAACGACCATTGCAACCAATACAAGTAGTGCCTCTGCCTCTTTGAGCTCCTCTGTATGTTATTGTCCCTGCAGCACCACATCTTCAACATCTTACATGTCGTGTAAGTATGCGTATCGAAAGAGATTAGCTCACAGCCAGTTTTCCTTTCTGCAGTTTTTCTCGCATCTGATTGGTGGCCACACAATCGACAAGTTAAAATAAGTATAAGTATTCACGGTTTTTTGACTTTCACAGTAAAAATTGGACGATTTTTTAGTCAAAGAAATTAGTTTACTTGTCGTAATCGCAATGTATTTTTCAATTCTTTCATTAATGAGGGTTACGAAATCTGTGAATAGGGGTCATTTTTCATGTTGTACTGAGTTAATGTAAAGAAAATATTTCCCAATTATGATCAGGTAATTTTAGGTTAAACCGGACGATGTGTATTTTAAAGCACCATATATATTTTTATTTTGCTCCAAAGCAATGTTTCCTCTACTTTGTTAATTTATTCCGAAAGGATTCAACAATTGGACATTCCACAAATAAATGAAGTGGTGTCTGATCAATGTCATGGCAATAAGAACATCTTGTACAGGATTGTATTTGTGCACAGGATATTTCGAGCTATTTGTCGTTGAAACACGGATATTTTTACTCCGTTTGTGACACGAAAAGGAAGCAAACAGATTTACAATAATAATTGTCTTTCTTGAAAGATAAAGCCGGTTCAATGAGTCTCCTCTCTGCAGTTGGAGGAGAGAAGTGCTGGTGATTGAGAAATGTATTGTAAATTGTTTTGCATGTGAGCTTTTCTATTGCAAGCGGTACGTATTCTGTTGAGGGTAGAAGACATCCCTGCTCTGGAATAGTTTTCTATTTCTGTGGCATGTAGACCGAAGGCTGTAATAGTGTAGAAAATTACTCTTAACGTTGTATTTCTGCATGAAAGTTTTAATAGGCATCAAGGTGTTACTTTCGTTGTCCAAAAGGCATGAGAGTTTTTCAATGCCGACTTTTTTTCCAACCAGGGGAATAAACTGATTATTCCATATTATTTAATTTTGCACAAATCCTTTTGTTTTCGGGTTAGTGCTATTAATTTTCTGCCAATGGGAAATTATATCTCGATAGAATTTTGGTAAGTTTTCATTCAGGGGTAGATATTGGATGTCATAGTTACACCGAAAAAGAAGGTTGCCGCAAACATTAGAAAGTGAGGGTGGTGGGATAAATTTCCATGGTCTTTTATCGTTAGCCCACATGCATCATCAAATAACGTAAAATTTAACATATTAAGTGCCCCCTCGTTCTTATTCTTAATTATAGTCGTTTCTCTGAGTTTTGGATTCTTGTACTTCCATATGCAATCAGATATAAGGTTATCGATGCCGTGCACTGTAATGTAAGCCAAGTTATGGCCGATTTAATTGACACGACTTTGTGTACAAGTGTTCAAGTGTTTAGCAATAATTGTTTCGCGTAAATCAAACCCGTAACATTCTTTAGCAGCAGTGATCTCTTGTTATATTATTCAGAAACAGAGACTACTTTTGGCTAAGTTTGTTTTTAACCACGCTGTAGCATTCGAGTTGTTAATGCCGCCTACATTAAACGCTTTTCCGGTAATAAAACCAGGCAACGCAAACGAGCATATGAACTCCTCCTGCGATTGTGTAATGTAAAGTAAATGAAGTTGTCGTATCGTGTTTCTTCGATTTTCGGTAAGCTCTACAGAATGACATCTTTCTAACTATTAATTTGCTATCATTATTACGTTTTATGGTTGTGACACCTAATCTACTCCAAATTTTATTTCAAAAAACGTTAACAATTTGTGTTGTCCTTTTCGTCTTTACCTTAGTTTCAGAGACTCCAGTGCAATCTACTGCAGGTAAGTTGCTTCTTTACACATTGCTCCTTGTCCCCTTATCTACCTACACATTTCTGTAATGAACAGTTAGATTATGAGCTCCAGATTTCTAAATAGTAAATAGATTATGAGCTCCAGATTTCTATTTCATAGAAATCTGGAGCGAATAATCTAAATCCTCTTGACGACACTTCGAAAACGTGGAGAAGCGGAGCCATTTTGTTAATAACAGCACACAGCTGGGCTCTCACTCATACAACAAAATAGATAGTGAACAGCGTAGCCAATAAGAGGTGATATTTGATGAGGCCAGAGGTCAACTCTGAACTTTCATTGCTTTAGTAGAATTCTAAATGAAATTAGAATTTGCAGTTGTGCGGGCGGTGATCAGTTTTGTCGACAATTTCGAGTTTTTGAAGTCAAGAAACAGTGTATGACCCTCCTTCTATTAGTCTTTTGAGGAATTTCGTTATCCATTTTTTCTAACTAATCCTTCGAAGGTTCGGGGAAAAGAAGGCGACCTAAAGCCAAAACACTCAAATGGATGATATCTTAGGCAATCAGTGACAGCGTTTGCATTAGTATACTGGTCGCAGGTAACCTGATATACACATTTTTTTCTTGTTAGGTCCAACAACTTCAGCTCCAACAAGTGAGTACCAATAACATTAAGCGTGTTTTCGCATGACTGTCCAAATTACGTTAATTAAACGCTTTTCAGGAACTCCTGATTCATTCCCGGTCGACAGCATGAGATCCTGTAGTTGTTTGGGGTTTTATGAGGGGAGAAAGTCTCCCGGCGTTTCTGAGCCTT